AAGATTCCAACAAAATATTAGTAACCTAATAACACAAATGAAGGAAAAAAGAAAGTAGAAATAATTACTTACATTAAAACGACTGCATGTGTAGAAGCAACGCGCCGTTGTGTCCGGATGTCTTGATTGAAACACATTGGCCGGACGACCACAGTCACAGTTAGGGACAGGGAGGTTAGGAGGGACGGGGGCATCTTTGCTAGACGCGTTGGGGTATAATTCTCTAGGACGACCCCGTTTTCGCCAAAATTCCTCCCGATACATGTCTTGCATCTAACAAAACGGTTGTAATTAAACATCAATCAAAACATCACAAATTAATATAAAGAACCATTTGCACTACAACTAAAATAATATAACCAACACTTATAGGAACAAAAATAAACCTTACACTAAACATGGTAAACATACTTCTAACTAACTAATTAACCTTCACATTGCCAAAATCGAACTAATATTTTCCTATAAACCCTAGTCCATAGTTCCCAAATATACTTTTCCTCCAAACCCTAGCTACCATTCATAATCTTTGAATCCACCATTCAAACGACAAATAAGAGCATAATTACTGTGACCGAGGCTGAGGAGACGCTTGGGGGAAGGGAGGGACGGAGGCTGGCAGGGAGCACCGGGTGGCGGTAGCCCTTGGGAGAGGCGGGAGGGGGCGACGCGGGTGCCCTCCAACTCTGTTCGAAGTAAGGCAGAGAGAGGGAGGGAGGCTCGTGGCGCGACATATACTCGGCATTGCCGCGCCATGTGTGATGGCACGGCGATGTCGCGCCAAGATCTGTAGTGCGGCATCGCCTGCCACATCATCGGCCAAGCCCTGGGGCCTTGCCATGTCATCGCCTCTACGCGCCACCATGCATGGCGCGACAGCGTTGTTTGGCCACGCCAGGGCAATAGGCGCGGCCAAAAGTGTTAGATTTGAAAAAAAATACAGTGTCAAATTTGGAAATATTTTTAAAAAGGTGTTAGAAATAAAAAAATCGCCGATTGCACATCGGTCTTTCCAAAACGAGAACCGAGATAGGAACCGAGGACCAATATTTTGGTTTTTTTGTTCGAGTTCGGTTTTTTTGGTGTCAGTCTTTGCCTAGCCTGAGTTAGGGTCATGGATATCATATTGTAGTCCAACTTTGTTCGGATGGAACGAGTTTGGGTTTGAGTTGAGTGGGACCCCAAGTTTAATTTAATTAAAAACATTCATCCTCAAGCGAGCTAGCTCATCGCCTGCTGCCTACGCCCGCAATGGCGGGCGGTGGCGAGGACCACTGGTGCTCACGCTACCACGGTGGGGGGTGGCCAGCCAAGGCCAGCCATGTAGGGGCCCGTGCCGCGCCTCCCTTTATGCTGTTCACCGACGGCTCGCAACAAACCGGGGCGGCGACATCGGCCGGGTTGGCTGCGGCGGCGGCCGTCCACTAGTGAGGCTCCCCAGGTGTCACGCTTCCGTGGGAGAGTAGCTGTAGAAGAGAGAGGGAGCGAAGGGAGAGGAGACAGAGCGCGGAGGTATCGAGCTTCATTTCCTTTTCCCACCATCCAAACAAGGGATAAAATCTATCCAACCAGACTATTTCTCTATCATGTGCCCATTTCCCCCAAACTAAACGACACCTAGAGGGGTGCGCGGGCATGTGGACTTATGGGCTATTTGGATATGTACCCGGCCTGGCGAGTGCCAGCCAGGCAGCGATCCCTTCCACTAGGCCACCGAAATCAATGGCTTGAGAAAGCTGCCTGGCGTCCAAACCAAACACCCTAGTGGCTTGTTGGCCGGCCTGTTAAAGGGAGGATGGGTTTGGCATCGCCTGGGCTCAGGCGCTGTTTGAATTTCATAGTCTAAAGTTTAGCCACTAAATAGATTTCATGGTCTAAACTTTAGACCACTCTAACTCTTGAGACTCTAAGCAGAAGGTATAAAGTTTAGGCGCCTCACACAAAACTTTAGACCGCAAGATAAGTGAGCAAGTAGTCTAAAGTTTTAGTCTTTAACTTTAGCCACTCAACTTTAGACCAAAGAATCCAAATAAGCCCTTAATTTCCTTTGGGCAAAACTCGATTCTAGGTGGACAGGTCACTAGAGCTCAATTGCATACTTAACCATGTGGATAAAGAGCCAATTGCATTCTTTTTAGTCTTTTTCTTAAATTAACATAATCCTATCATATCTTCTATCTTCTACAACTAAAAATATGATTGCAGATATCCTAAGTTCCTTCTTCATTAGTTTCAGATGGTGGATTGCACTTTCACGTCATCTTCAACAAAATAGATCTCGTGGAAGCCGAGGTTTGGATTTGGACTCGTTTTCGTTGTTCTCAATACAATTCTTTGTAGTTTTATAGATAGCGTGGATTAACAATAATTTTGTTATTTGTGGAGTTTAAAATTGTTTATTGTTGCATAACAAATTAATTTTATGTTCAAGTCATCTCTCAATGGGAATCACGCTTGCTAAGTTGGGGTGGCTATCCTGTTCCTTTGTGAGCTTGCATAATCACTTGGGTCTTTATGATCTGGATAAGGTCTTTAGTGGCAAATCTTCTGCGGTCTTTGGGTCTTCACAATGTCGAGAAAACATCTACGGTTCAAGATATGTGACAAAACATCACGCATAAATGAGGCCAAGTATGATATGTGCACTATGATAAAAAAAGGTAACTTATGTTATTTCTTCAGTGCTTGCATTCTGAATGTTTTGGTAATCTTATTTATCTATTGACAATAAGCACTTTCTCAAAATCTTCCATATTTTGCAAGGACTTAGAGACAATAATTTGTTATCCATAGGGTAAGACATGACTATAATATTGATAACCGTAATTAATTGAGCTCTTTTATGAATTTTTTCGTGTGTTAGGACTGATGCAATCTTTTGAATTTGGTGATAAATTGATAATGAGAGAAGTGTGATGCAAATTATGTTGGCAACAAGAGATAGTGAAGGAGAGAAGAGAGGGAAGCAAGCAAGTGATCACTAGCCAAAGGTATATCTCCCCTCCCTCTCCCTTTTTACAGGGAAGGTGGGAGAGGAGGTTCTCTTTATACCTTTCGGTAGGGTTTATATTTACAGAAACGCCACTAGAGGCTACAAATAGCTCATGTTGGGATTTATATTTACAAAAAATGCCATTAAAGGATACAAATGGCCATCAAATATTGTTTTATGAGCCCTAGGCTATGTAATTGGGTCCTGAACATGATAATAGGGGTTCCCAACACATAACACACCCTCGTCAGTAGCCATCAGCTATTCGGTTTTAGTCGAAAGTTCAAAACCCAATAGCTGAATACAACAAAGTGTGGCCCAATTACGACTCGGTCTCTCAGACATAACTTTTCATCTTTACATTGATAGTCCGAGGACTACTTTGTCTCGGCTAGTCTTCGACTAGTCTTTGGTGGCAACCTTTTGCTCTATCCTCTATGACCATGTCCTTGGCAACTTGCTCCTTTGACCTTGAGCCCTTGGTACCTTGTTTTTGTAATTCCTGCCTTCGCCGAAGACATTTGATGTAGTTGAGGCAGGCGAAGCAGTCGACGCAGGTGAAGTAGTTGTAGATGATCACGACATATCTTCAAGCTTTCACTCACAAGCGCTAGACAAAGCTTTTGTCTTCGAGTGGATTGCTTGTCTAATGCGCTCCACGCCAACCCCTCATGGTTGGCGCTTGTGAGTAATTCTTTCACCAACCCCTTCTGGCTTCAGCCCCAGCTGGACAACCACCTGCCCCTAGGAGCCTGACTAGTACTCTCGAGCCGCCTAAGAGCCCCGCCGCCGGTTGTATGCTAGGAGCCTCACCAGTCACCATCGGGTAGTAGGGTTTAGGGACGGATGGGGTTTGGGGGCGTGGCGGCGTGCGGTCTTGTGGTGCCTGCGTCCGTGAGTCGTGACGTGAGAAGTCAAGAGGGGTGCACAGGCGTGTGGACTTAATGGGCTTGTTGGCCAACCTGTTAAAGGGAGGACGGTTTTGGCGTCGCAGTGGGCTCAGTTTTCACTTGACAAAACTCGATTCTAGGTGAGCCAGGTCACTAGAGCTCAATTGCAGACTAGCCTAGGCATTTTTTTTGAGTTTTTTAAATTAACATAATCTTATTTATTTGAGAGCCAACTTCAAATAAGATTAATGAGCCTATTCGAAATCTAAAGTCATTATAAATCAACTTTTATATTCCCTACGTGTTAAAATAAGTGCACGTCTCATACTTCAAGGAATCAATCAAGCTTAAGTTTTGACTGAATATATACAAAAAGTATCAAATTTATCATATCAAATAAATATCATTAGATTAATCATGTTATATATTTTTTAGCAAACCTACTTAAGATGTAGAAATGTTAATACTATTTTCTATAAATATAGTTAAATTTGAGATTGGTTGACTCCTCACAATGTAAGATGTGCATTTATTTTAGAAATGATGAGTATCTTATAAAGATGAGTTGAATCGAAATAATTTTGAAATAAGCAACTGAGCTAGCTTAACAAGCTTTTTGTCCCTCGACAACATAAGTGTTACGTAACTACCTCATACGTGATTCTATTTACCATGAACACAATTGACTTGGACCCGACAATTTTCTCTCCAATTCTGTGGGAATTTCATGGAAACTCGCAAAATTTCAATGCCTTCACACAATGTGGAAGCACAAGAATAAGATAAAGGAAGTTGTTACTCGTTGTCTCGTTCCCTCAACTAACCACGAAACTTAAATAAAAGACGAAAAAAAAAACGTTTCCACAACTACCCATAGGTACGCGGGCCAATCTGTCACGTGTCCGCCGCGGTTACCTCATTACCCCGCCCTGTGTGGGCTGTGGCCATATCGGGTCAGGGTCACACCCGCAAAGCCACCGCCGCACGGCGACTCCGACTCCTCCACGGCTCAGCTCACCATCCCCTCGAGGCGGACCTCACCACGTCGCCGGCGACCGAAGCGGCGGCCGTAGCCACGCGCCTCCGGCTTCGGCGAGCGCGCCCGCCCGGCGGGGGAGATGGCGCTGCGGCACCTCGTCACGGGCCAGAACAACTGCGCCCCGGACGGCGCCTCGTCGTCCAACCCCCTCAACGCCCTCGCCAACGCCTTCCTCGGCCAGTCCTCCAAGGCGCAGGTGAGCCTCCGTAGCCGCCCTAGTGCCGCCGGCACAGTCTCGAGCGTAGAGGCTTAGTCGATGCCGCGGGGGCTTGGATCGTGCCGCTTGGGTTGGGCTGTCGTGGATGGACGGAACAATTGCGCTGATTGTTACCGAAGCGGAACCGTTCCTGCTGTTCTAAAGTTGGTAGTTTGATCGTCCCGTGATGTTTCGTGGGGTAATTGTGGGTGCCTAGTATATCACCACAACCAGTCTACTAGATGCGCCCAAGAGAATTACTGATCTCTGTACTGCGCTGCCATTTGGCTCTGACTGTGGTGTGTCCGTTTAGCTGGAACTGAAATTGCCCAGTATACGTCGTTGAAGATCATTTTTTTATGTACAGTCTCAGTGACTGTTCCTGATACTCGAGTGCCTTCCAAGTTCCAAGCTTCCAATTCCAGTTAGTTCATCTATCAAACACGAGGTAGTTCCCTCCCGTGACATTCTCTGCTGTGGAAGAGTAGTAGTGAGATTTTTTTTTTCAATTTTGCTTCATTTGGGAGCATGTTTAGTTACCCATTCAAGTGCTCAGTAATTAGCGATCCTAAGTAAGAATTTCTGGTTCACCTACTAATCCTACCATATGTTTCAGCGATACATGAACAGGAGTGAATCTATAGATTTCTGCAGTGGTTGATATCCAAATGCTTTTATATGTTGTAGTAAACATCAACGCAGATCTTTCTATAACAACACATTTTCTTTGTGCAGTCAATAAAGGAACTTCCTGGTTCTGTTAGTGTTCCATCTACATCTGACTTTAGCGCGCCTGCTCCCTTGTCAAACATCCCTGGTTCAGAAAATGAGTTCAAACAAGAGCAGCGACCTATTGTACAGGTAAGGGTTATTCTGAACATTCCTTTTTGTTCCTTCCAGATGCTCCTAAGTCCTAACTGTAATTGAGCACCCGCAGGGCGCCGAATTTATTCATGGTGGTCCTGCTAATGATTGGATTGGATCTTTTCGGCCTCCAATGGTTCCTGAACTCGGAGGATTAGAAGCAGAATTTGACCGAATTTATAAGAATACAGGGACAACCTTTCAACTGCCATTGGATGGTAAATTTCTAGATTTTAGCATTTCCTTTGACCAGATGTTGGCCTGTGTACCACATGGCACATATGTAAATTTGACAGTATTATAAATTCATGAGTTTGTTGCGCCACACCAGTTTTTTTCTTGGCAATATTCCTAACTTGCTGAATAAATGATGTAATGATGTACATAGTTATTATTGTTGGCCCATGTTGGGTTTCATTTCACCTGTGGTATACTTGATACTTCCTACTCCGTCTTGCTCGGGACAAATGATTTGGTTGCATCGATAGGGCACTAGTTCCTGCTTTAATACACAATGCTCACATACTCCAGAATATTCGAATGCATTGGAGGGTTTTTCTTATGCCAAATTATGTTGGATTACGAGGATTGAAGTTTAATATATTGAGAACAAGCCTTAATGCTTTGATAAATAGATGCATTTTTCTTCTACCTTACTATATGAAAATGGAGAATTACCTCAGGGTCCACGTATTTTCCTAGTTTTACCGTTTACAATGATGCTGAAATACAAAAACACTATAGTGACTGTCAACATAATTAATTTCAGGTCCACCACAAAGAGTGTTGTCTGGTGTCTTGCATTCCTTTCTCACAAGTGGCCCAGCTGGTGTACCGTTTCAACCTCTTCCAGTACCAGCAGCTCTTGGTTTATCTGAAAGCGACAAAAAGTGCATACGTGATCGTAGCTGCATAATGGCACGGCATATTTTTTCTGACCAACCGGAAGAATATATACAGGCTCAGGTTGCTTATAATTTCTACCCATGTGAATCTCAAAACTCAAAATTACCTAAGACCATTTGAGGTTCACTCAAAATGTTTGTCTTCGATTCACGCGTTTGACTAGCATTGTATGACACACTCAAACTCAAAATTACCTACGTCCTTCAATTTTGCATTCCAAGTTTTGTATTTCGCTTATTGTCTATTGATGATCTCACTCTTTTATGTTTGGCAGGTCAATACTTTGCTGCATTCGCTTGATATTGACAACCGTATGAGAGGACCTATGCATGGACAATACCCAGAACTAGAACAGTACTGGAATCAGTCCCAAAGTTCTATGGGTCCTGCCCCAATGCATAATGCTGCTGATAAATGGATTACTGAGTTTGGCAAGCAAAATAATAACCCAGAAAATTGGGCAAACTCTTTCGAACAACAATATGGCCCCAATGGCTGGGCCTCTGAGTTTGAACAGGTTAGATCCTTCAGGATTCTTGTTTAGCATTCGCGAAACCTAAAGTATAAATCCTGAAAGATGCTCTTTTGTCTTCTATATTAACAAGTTCGCTAGACAAGGCCTCTTAGAAATATTTAGGACCATAGGACATGGAATGGCTATGGATTTTCCTTTTCAGAATAATTTACACCTAATCCAATTCCATATCTAGTCTGGATTCTTGAAATTGAGTTGCCCCTTCTTTGATTATCCTTGTGCCTGACAAAGTTCATTTTAGTATCTGTGCATCAAATTCTCATGAATTCTTTATATTGTGGCAGCATCAGTCTCAGATGGCCATGGGCCAGATGGGAGGAGCTTAACATGGCGAACCTGGCTGCTATGGAGCAATCCCAATGCTTGCACAAACTTTAGCAAGTAATAATGATCCCAAGTTTCAGGTATAAGTGATGATCTGATTTGATAAATATTAGGGATGCAAATTGTTGCCCCTAAGGGTCTCCACGAACCCCATTAGTTTAGTTATTAGCACTAGTTTTTCCAAATGCGACAACAATATAAAGCTCCATTTTATATGTGCACTATGATTTGCTAGATAATTTGTATCTACTTTTTTCAACTTGAGTTAAACTTTGATTGAATCATAACTTGTCGTATTTTATTATGTTTGTTGCACACACTTGATTGGCTGGATGTGATGCGTTAATAATTAAAACCCATGGCAATGTGCACATCTTGATATATCGTTTTGCTACATGTGAATGCAGTTCATTTATATCATTGGATATTCAAGCTAAGTTGAGTGTTTTTCCTATCATATCCGGTGAAATTTTGTAATAGAGGGCTTTGTTGCATTTTATTCTTATAGACAACTTGTTAGATGACACATATTCACCAGTTTAGTAACTTTTTGCAAATTCCATTGGACGTCGCTTTGTGGAGGGATGTTTGATTTCTTTAAAGTTAGCATGCCTTAGTTATCAAAATATGGTATTGCTTTCTGGAGTGACACAGGGTAACTCATTATATATGCAGAGAGGGTATGGCGTGCCTTACTTCTTTGATTGTTCACATTGTATACTGCGCTATAGTTAGTATATTGTGTCATATCCGAACCATTGTTGTTCAGTAAGGACTTCAGTATTTTTTAAGACTCAATGTCAACCAGCCTTATATAAACCATAGGTCATCTGGATCATCCTGTTTAAGGACCTGACAATACCATTTTTTTTTTTTCTTTTTGGGAAGAATTCTAAGTTCTTCCAGTTTGTTTCAAAGATGAGCCGGGGTGAACTTATTATAGAAGATAATCAAGTAAAAGAAGGTTCAGCATCCCAATCCAGTGGCTGGGCTGATGAATTTCAAACACAGTACAATGCTAATGCAAACTCATGGGCGGATCAGTTTGCACATGAAGAGGTAATACTAGACGGTTGGATATATGCATGGCATGCTTAATGGGGATCAATTTTCTCTGATCATCAGAAATGAAAATTCATACATCGTTGGTACTTCATGGCACTTTATGACATGCAACATTTTAGCTTTTGTACCTAGGAACGTGCGAGAAACTAGGAAGTGTCAGGATGATTTCATTCCGTATAGACTAGCAGGACCGCTGAAGCTTCTGATTAGATATCTCCAGACCATGGTGGCTGGATATCATTCTCTCTAGGACACTGATGAAATGAGCATCCTTTATACAAATCGTCTAGCATTCTGGCATACTTGGTGTTGGTGTTGGCAGCCTCACACTTTTTGTTTCGTTCACACAAATCAGCCGTGCTCTGATGATATTTCCCCACTATTGTTTATTCTCCAGCTTTCACAAGGGGCGGATAAGTGGGTTAGCGAGTTCTCTAGTCAACATAATCAAGGTGCGCTAAATGAGAACTGGGTTGATGAGTTCTCAAAATTAAATGTCACTGATGAATGGGCAGAGGAATTCAGTGGAGGTGGTTTTGGCGAAAGCTCTGCTGATCCCTGGGTAGATGAGTAAGTAGAAATTTCATGTACTTCTGTACATCTGCTTTGTCATGGAATAGCATTATAATTGAGTTAAATTTTGTACCTCTTGAGTTTTGTCAAACCTATCTTTGTATCAGATACTGAAAGAACTTTGTAATTGTTATAAAAAAGAACTTTGTATTGAGTTATTTGTTCCAACATCCATCTTGTTTGGTAAATTGTTAATACAATTATCTAATTAGTTTATATTGACGTTGGTTAATTATGTTGATTTTATAGAAAACCCTTTGGTATAACTATTGTACCAGTAATCCTTTTTCATTCTTTCTTTGTAGGTTCCAAGAACACTTGTCATCTTTCAAACAAAGTTCGGGCATCTCTCGAGGGGTTTATGTTTTTTCTGAGAACAACCCGTATGTTGGTCACCCTAATCCAATGCAGGAAGGACAGGAGCTCTTCCGCAAGGGCCTCTTAAGTGAAGCTGTTCTTGCTTTAGAGGCTGAAGTTTTGAAGAATCCTGATAATGCTGAAGGTTGGAGGTTGTTAGGCGTAACACATGCAGAAAATGATGATGACCAACAGGTGATATATCTCCTTTAAATGTTTAAACCTTTGTTATTAATTGGGATCATATTAAAATACACGATAGGCAACCCTGCACTTGAAACATATATGCACTGTCTTTTTTGTATCTTTTTATTCGATGAGTTTTGAATTTTGAATAGATCAATTTCTAAGAATTGTTTAACCAGCGAGTATTCTTGTAGCGTAGCGGTAAGCTCCCTAGTTGAGGGAGACACTGGCCAGGGTTGTTGGCACCAAAAACTCTGTTAGCGACCCAAAAAGTAGTAGCAGGGCGCCAGCCTGTGGCGCCTTTTGTTTGTTTTTGGGCCCTTGTACCAGGGTGAAGCTGGGGTTTGGGGGATTTTCTCGTCGGATTGGCTGAGGTTCCTTCTCAGAGTTAAAAAACATGGGGGAGGTCTTTACCCACCAGCTGAGTTTTTAAAGAATTGTTTAACCAAATCAGAGAGGCAAAAGACAGACTGAATTTGTTTGTTTATAGTTGTCCTGCATGCAGAATGCTTTTCATGAGGAATATGTGAACCATGCTTCATTGCAGTTCTGTGTAAATTGCAATAATTACACACATGATATGCATGTAGCTCAGTTTATAATCTGTCAGGAAAATGTACTTCTGTTGTTAAACTTTAGCATGGTAAACTATTGTTCTATGACCTAGGGGTTCCATGCTTCTGCTTTTAATGAAGCTGATTTTTGTCTATTTTTTTGCTTTGAATTCAGGCCATTGCAGCAATGATGCGTGCGTTGGAAGCTAATCCGACAAACCTTGAAGTTCTTCTTGCTCTTGGTGTTAGTCACACAAATGGTTAGTGCTTGGAATTGTGGGAGTAATTTGACACCCTGCCTAATCTGCTCTAGCACTCTTTGAGATAATCTAGTGACACGTGATTTGGAAGTAATCTTATTTCTGCACTGATGTGGAGCTATTTCACTAGGAACAGTGAACAACTAAACAAAACTTATTAAAATGATTCATGTTTGAGGGAAAACATGTCTATTTCCTTTTCTATGTTCAAAGAACAGAAAACTTTTCTATGCTCCTCCAAGCTTTATGTCAAATAATGGAATAGCAATTATGCAATATAACATTCTGAAATTTAGTTCAAGTAGAAGATTAATCAAAATACCAAATTATTTGTTATCTTGAAAGGGTTTAATTCTTCTAGCAATTGATGCAGAATTGGAGCAGGGAGAAGCGTTAAGGTATCTTTATAGGTGGCTTCAGAATCATCCAAAATATGGTGGCCTTGTCCCTCCGCAGTCAACTGATTCACCTTATGGTCCTGATGTAAGTACACGACTGCATGCTACTTTAAGTGTGTATGTTTCAGTTTACTCTTTTAACTTATTGCACTCTGGCATCTTCAGATTTCAGATGGGTATCAAGATTAGATGTTTTTAGCTGTAGTCGTGTCCTTTTTGCCCATTTCTAATATCTTTCAACATATTAATTTCTCTAAATAGTTTCATTCTGCCATACTAAATGTTTGTCTCATCAGGTTGTTAGATTGTTTAATGAAGCTTCTCAGATGTCACCTGAAGATGCAGATGTTCATATAGTTCTGGGAGTCTTATACAACCTATCAAGAGAGTATGATAAAGCTATAGCTTCATTTAAGACAGCACTACAGCTCAAACCACAGGACTATTCACTCTGGAACAAGCTTGGTGCTACCCAAGCAAACAGCATCCAGAGTGCTGATGCAATATTGGCGTATCAGCAGGTAATTAGCTCAGAAACATGTTTAATGTTTTAACATTGGTCTTTTTGCCCACACAACTAGCTGAATTTGTATATATTCCTGTTTATATCGTGTCTGATGCCTTAAATGAACTGCTGATCCGGTATTTTGTTGGTCTTTGACTATTCATTTTGAAGGGAATGTAAACAAGATTTCAGCATGCTGGTGTAATAAAACTTGTTTGTGTATTTGAAATCTGGAACTAATCACAATATGTTCTGTTTTCAGGCTCTAGACTTGAAACCCAACTATGTGCGTGCATGGGCGAATATGGGAATCAGCTATGCCAACCAGGTAATTCTTTTTTAATAGAATGTCATCGTCTGTGCAATTGGTTCTTTAAGAATACCACGCTTCCTGCTATGTGAAATGAGAGACAATATTTTGGTTTTGATCATCTTAGTTTCTCAACAGTACAACACTAGCATAAATGTTGATGGAACTATGTATTTTTGTGAACTGGTACTTTTGCATGCATGGCAATTGGCAACAGGTATAACAAACACATGACCTGATAACCCCTATTGATGCAACTTCTTCTATGTTGCTTATGCAGGGTTTGTACGAGGATTCCATTCGATACTATGTAAGGGCAGTTGCAATGAACCCTAAAGCTGACAACGCCTGGCAATACTTGAGGATTTCTCTTAGGTATTCCTTGTGCGATTGATTTACCTACATGTGGACCTTGAAACAGGCAGCACTGATTTTAGTTAACTAATATGCCCCACCCATTTTGAACCAGCAATGCTTCACGAGCTGACATGATTGCTGCATGCGACGCCCGCAACCTTGACGCTCTTCAGAAAGAGTTTCCTCTGTGAGTCCTCCCTCCCAAGACATTAGCTATCCAGCAGAGATCTTCATCCATGGGAGGAAGCAGCACACTAGCAAGACACATGATAATGGTATCATTGGCTGCACTCATGATCATGGAAATGGACTTGGAAACCAGTAGCATCTTGTATTTGCCTGTTGATTCTTCCATTTATTTTGTTGTGTGGGGATGTATAGGGAGTAGGGAAACAACATCCAGATCCAGTTGATGTGAAGTATCATGGCAAAAGGCAGTAGTGGCAAAGGAGAGACTATACATCTGTAAGTACACACTTACGGGAGGCACGACAGGAATAAAAAGAATGATTGAATAATAAATTGTTTATTTTGGGGACGAACCCCCTGCTTGTTCAATGAAGTAATAAGAAATTGTTCAATGAAGTAATAAGAAATGCAATATTGGTGCTTCTTGGTGGTGCGCCAGTGAGCTGTTACAGGTATGTCATGTTTTGCACGAACGGGCAATACCAAATACTAATGCGTGAATGAAAGCCCGTTTTGCAACCTTTTCCATCACGGTATTGCTAGCATTAGGATGTCCGGGCTCGCCTAAAAAACAAAGGCCCTTTTTGCTTGAACTGTTTCAGTAAAATAATAATATTTTTTCTCTCACAACAAATCAGCATCAGCCGTTTTTCCAGCCAGCCGAACAGGGCTAAAATCAACTCCTGTACGCCTCGCTCCGCTCTCGCCCTTACCCCTTCCGCGCTCCTCATCCCCTGCCGCAGCGCACCAACACCCGACGTCCTCCCTCACCAGAAGCCTCCAACGTTCGCAGATCCGGCGGCCCTCTCCCCCACCCCGGTGAGATCCATGGAACAGGAGCAAGGTCCACTCACCTCCAGCGAGACCCATGCAGGTGGCGCGGCGGTGTTGCATGGAGTGGGAGGCTCTCCTTCACCCCAGCGCGCTGCCCTCCCACACCCCCCCCCGGCGGCGCCCTCTGCGACCCCAGCGACCGAGCTCCTCCCACCCCGGCAGCCATGGCGCTCCTCGCCCTCCGTCCCCCCACCGTCGCCGCCGCCGGCTCCGACCCCGACGGCCGGAATCAACCGGCTCAGGCTTCTCCTCCTCTATGTTGCAAATTATATTTCAGGTGTTTCAGTCATTTCAAATGTATGTTGCAGTTGTTTCTTATGGATGTTGCAAAAGTAGATCGGGGATATTGCAAATGTTGCAAGTGTTTCAAAAGTATGTTGCAAGCATTTGTTCAAAATATTTCATCTGTTTTCAGACGTATGTTGCAATCTTTTTTTTATTTGAATGTTGCATATGTTTTCACACATGTTGCAACATTATGTTCTAAATATTTCAGTCTTATGTTGCAGTAAGTGTTTTTTTTATATTGCAATTGTTTATCTGGATGTTGCATATGTTTCATACATATGTTGCAAGCGTATATCCTGAATGTTTGATTCGTTTTTTCAAATGTACGAGTGTTTCATGATGTAAATGTAATGCGCACGCGCAAAGCAATTCTGTCTAAGAAAAGAAGATGGAACTTTTGTGCCTACTTGACAAAATGATCTGCAACTAAAACAGACGCAGTAGTTTTTTTAGAACTAAAAGATTATAGGCGCTATGAAACATATAAAACTGAAAAAGGGAGAAATGCAAAGATTGGGATAGCCATTACAGAGGGATGTATATAGGACTACAGGAGTGGACTGAACCAAAAGGACGTTTTTAAGCTTTCAAACCGAGTTCAACGAGCTGAGCCAAAATTAATTTCCATGATCCACGTCATGGGGTCCCGGAATGTTGGCCCGTCAATGAAAAGGCAGAGATTGACCCATATATATAAGATTTTTTTTACAGTGCCAACCCTGAAGAACGTCAGCAAGATCAAATCTGAGGCAATCATTCTTATGGGCGGTTTAAGCCAAATTCTGTATCAAGATTGTAGATAAAATTACTGTTACTGAAAGAAGACAGCTGTTTTACATAGATCTCGACTTTCACGTACAATACTTAGACGGCAAGACGAGTCAAGCAAACAACAAAACAGTACAGCAGGAAATTCACCGCCTGAAGGCATTGCCCTCGGCATCACGGCCACCCTGCGAGTAAAAAGCGCGGCGCCTGATGCTCTCTTCAATTGTGGCACTGCCACCCTTATCTGTTCCAAATATGCTCTTCTTTTCATCTTCCAAGAAGTTCTTCCCTTTGAACTGGTTCGCATTCACAGTTGCTGCCTCTTTAGAATCATCGTCAGCAGCTTTCTTGAGCCTCTTCCACCTCTGCTCCTCATGGACCTCAGCATCAGCCTCCATCTGGCGCAGCCGAGCTAACCTCTCCTCTTCTGACATATGGTGGACACCACCCCGTCGACGGTTGAATGACGGACCATTGTTCCTGCCATGTCCGCTTTCTTGCCTCGTCTGCTCGCCAGAGCCTTGTTCAGAGCGGGAACGGTGTTCAGAAGTGGAATTCCCAGTTTTGTGGCCATCACCCACTCTTTTGGGCCTAGAGTCTGGACCATCATGCTTTGAGTTTGAATGATGGCGGTCTGGAGGTGAATGATGTCTCCTTTTCATATCATCAGCATCAGAGCGATCATATCTTGGACGGTCAACATAGCTTCTTTCCCTTGGTTTCTCATCATCCTGCCATCTTCCTCTTGGTTCATCATCGTCTTGCCGTCTTCCCCTTGGTTCATCGTCGTCCTGCCGTCTTCTCCTTGGTTCATCGTTGTCCTGCCGTCTACTCCTTGGTTCACCGTCGTCCTGCCGTCTACTCCTTGGTTCACCGTCGTCCTGCCGTCTTCTCCTTGGTTCATTGTCGTCCTGCAGTCGTCTCCTTGGTTCACCATCATCCTGCCGTCTTCTCCTTGGTTCATCCTCGTCATGCCGTCCTCTCCTCGGTTCATCGTCTTCTGATACATCGTGCTTTCTTCTCTGTGGTTCATCATCGTCTGAATCTGATGAATCTTCTCTGTGCTGCTTCTTATGCCTGGACCTGTTCTCTTCTTTCTTATGGTCAAGAGAATAATGAGCTCTCTTCCTTCTCTCGTCCTTGCCATCACTTATTTCATCTGAATCCGAATTCTCATCTGAGTGATGCCTCTTACTCTTTGACTTATGGTGGCGATGCTTCTTGTGCTTTTTCTTCTCTTTCTTCTCTTCTTTTTGCTTTTTTTCAGCTTCAACCTACACAAGAGCAAGATTGTGTCAGGGAGCGTGTTCAAAATGAAAATGCTTTAAGAATGGATGCTGAGCTTTACAAAAAGCAGATTCCCTAAAACCAAATTCAGCAAACTACACAAATGTTACTTGGATCAGTGTTATATGGACTTGCGAGTCCAAAATTTGTTTGCTGTAACATTACGTATCCCCGCGTGGACATGCACCAGATTTGTCTCTGGCAAGTCCAAGTGGCTAAGTAGGGAGGGGAGATCAAGCAGAGAGCCTAGGAAAGAGCCAGCATAGGAGAAGGGCACTGGAGAGATGAGGCAGGCACAGGCAACTAATTTTGCTAACCAGAGGTGCAAAGAGGCTGCACCCACCAAGAGAGCAATGGGAAGAAATGGAATCAGTTACTTGTTCTGTGTTATGTTGTTAATTAGCTGCCTGCTCTGCCCCAAAAGATTTAAATTGACTTTACAGATTTTTTTTAAAAAAAATACATATGTGCTAGAAATCCTCTAGTCCTATTTTCGAGTTTGCTGAATCATGCACCCGAACCCAAGGCCGACTCCTACACTCAAACTTGTGTCTACTGCCAAGTAATTTGCGAATAACTAAAATTTATTTTCACAAAGTTAGAAATTTGAGGGGTTTTTTTAAAAAAAACGATTACTAGTTACTTGTAAAAAAAAAGGGCTTTGGGTATCCACCTTCTTGACAAACCAATATAGTATCCTCCGCCTCCCTTGCATTCAACAAATCTCACCTATCAAAGGTTACTACGATTGTTTTCTGGAAACTTATTTATGAACTTGTGATCCCAAACCAACAATTACAAACCATCTGTCAATAAGTTTGACTCTAGTTAAGCTACTCAAAAGCCTAGATTCCACATTATAAAAGGAAAGGAGAACTTACAGATTTCTTTATCTCGGCCATCTTGATTGGATTGTTTTTAATCCTTGCAATTGCATCCTGCTCCCGCTGCCTTATTAGGAGTAGAGGATCAGAGTGGAGCTTTCTCCATGTATCATTTGCAGATTGGGGTTTATCCTCAAATAAAGCTCCTGGTGTAGCTGCCTGAAACGTGCAAAAGAAAAATGAAGAAATGTGACTATTAGATCATATTTTCACCATGATAGCAATTCAAAAACAGGAAATCAGTAGAAGTGTAACTCAAGGTAAAAATCAAGTTTAAACAAGAAACTGAGTGAAACCTTGAAACCATGGTCATGTTGCTTAACACAAATAACTGTTGTTAGCATGCAAGTTTAGTGAATGTAACCCAGTGTTCAGTTCAAGGATTCACTACTAGGAGGCCACATCTGTGCTGCATCTCTATCACTTAATTCTGTAGATATGTTTAATAAAAGAAGTGATGCAATGCAACAAAAACACTATTAAAACTGCATATTCCATGATATTTTCTTAAAAGACTTAAATACTACAGACGCAAAATAAATCGTTCTGAGTGCGCATAACATGCAATATAGTATGAAATAAGCTAACAATATTCTACCACAACAACCACCCGACAGCAATAATCAGGCATTACTCTTATTTATCTTGATGTTTCTTACTCAATATATCATTGGCAAGAACACACTTTATCTGTTCCCGCTTTGAATTACACTGAATTCAGCTGATCCGCACACGCAGATGAACTACAATCAATGTTGAGGCAGGAATAAGTACCTTGGAAGAATCAGCCGCACTCGCCTGTGCAGAAGTGGACGCAGCAGATGCCCCCGGTGCAGATTGTTGCAGCGCCTGGAACCCTTCGGAGCTCTTGCCGACGGCCAACCCCGACTCGTAGAGGAAGTCCAGCCTCTCCTGCGCCCTGTACCAGCCATCGCGGGATTAGCACATCAGACGAAGCCAGAAATGGCCCGAACCCCATCGAATCGAAGCGAAACCCTAGCCGGACGGACCGACCGCCCTATCAGATCCAACCGAATGAAAGAGAGAAGGATGAAAGGAAAAAAAATCACTTACGGCCTGAGGCCGGCGCGCTCCTGCATGGCCCGGAACTCGGCCTTCTCCTTCTCGGCGGCGACCTGCTTCTTGAGCTCCTCCGTCTTGCGGCGCTCCGCCTCCTCCGCCTGCTCCGCCTTCCATACCCGCTCGATGTTGCGGAGGGACCCCGTGTGCCACCCCTTCTTGTTCAGGAACTTGAGCGCCATGGCTGGTGCCCCGCCTCTGCCCCTCCCACTGGAAACCCTAACCCTAACCCTAGCGGCGGGCTGGCCTCCCTCCTTCCTCCCTGGCGACCGGAACGAGGGAGACGAGACGAGACGACGCGGTAGCGAGAAGAGATGGTGAGAATTGAGATCGGGACGGGAGGCCAAAGCCGCCGCCTCGGCCACGACTTGTTTTTGTGTGGGGGCCCGACCCACCACCTCACCTCATACAAGTATACGCCTTTCACGAAAGACAGCGTATCCGGTTTTGGGGGGCAAAAATTCTTTTGATCCGCAACAGCTATTCACAAAGTCCCACCAAAACCGATTTTTTGCCCACCTCAAACTTTGAAAACCTCTTGTTTAGTTGTTTTCACACCTACTAAGAGTATACGTCAATTTCATCGTGAATAATGTAACGCCACATTAAATAAAACTACCGTACAAGTCTGCTCGGAGTGCAAGAACAAAATGATTAACACTAGAGAAGGATCAAAATCCAGTTTTATATATGAGCTTTATACGGAGCATGATCAATGTAGCTAGAAGTCGTAGTGGATACAGTCACAACACAACAGTCTTCTACAGTATCTGAAGTTCATAAGTTGCAGCGGCAACTGCAGTGAACATGCTACATGTTTTTTTCTTTTCTTTTTTTTTAAAAAAATATTTGAGGGATCTAAGAGCAACTCCAGCAATGGCCCACAAAACAAAGCTCTCACTTTTTACTTGAGAGCTCTCTCTACTTTTGAGGGCCCTGTTTCACTGCACTTCGGTAGGATCTCACAAAATAGTGTCCTCAAATTCATTCTAATAGAGAATAACATGTATAACCCACTTGTCATCCTCTTTCATATCTTCTTCTTCTTGTTGTATCTTCTCTCCATTGACGAACACGGCCATGCTAAGCGCAGGTGAAAAGGGTTCCGACATGAAGGGATATGCCTCGCAACTCCGAATGGGAGAGGCACAACCAAGGAGAGGCTCCGGCGGGGAGAGTCATCGCCTGGGATGTCGATGGGGAGGGGAAGGAGTTGGGGGGCGCAACCTCTCTGGTATCGGCCTACTCGGGCGACGCGCAGATGGGGAGGGGTGGTGTCGGGGTTGCCACATTGTTTGCCTGCTTAGGGGAAGCGAGGCGACGCGCGTGAACTGATAGAGGAAGCGGGGCGGCACGCAGACAGGAGAAGGAAGCATGCAAACCGAAACTACCAAAAAGGGTGATTCGAGAGTTTGGTCCAGGGCCTCTAGGAATGAGGGGTGGGAGGGTGGTTTGAAGCCCTCTCAATTTTGAGAACCCTAGTGAGGGCCCTATTGAAGTGTAGTTTTTAGCTCTGAATAGTAAAAAATAAGATGAGTGTTTAAGTAGAGGAATGCTGGAGTTGCTCTAAAGCACTTGTTTCAGGGTTGGTTGTGGTTACATAGCTGGTTGTCTCGGGCCGGCTGCTATGGTTATTGGGCCGAACAAGCACACCTATCTTTCTATTGGCCCATCTGTAATTGGGCTTTTCTCTAAGAACATTTGAGAGCTAAAGCTAATTTCTTTTTTATGTGATATATAAACGCCCTTAAAATTCGAAGACGATGATACAACAATCAAGACTGACAGCAAAAACAATGTCTTGAGAATAATCCGCATTTCACAGGCAAACTACAAACTAAATAAGATGAACAAAACGGTGACCTAATAATACAAATATAGTACTGGATTTGTCTTTGTTTAAAACTTTTAATACAGTCTCGGGCGGCAGGCGAGCATCCCATCCAACGTCAGGAGGTACTGCATGTTCTACAAAAGAAGCTTCTCACAGAACAAAAACTTTCTTATGCACAAACGGACACAGAGAAGTCGAAGCATGGAACACCTTCCTGGCAAAAGGCACAATAATGAACAAACAATCTGGAACGCCCATGCCTGCCGTCAAAACAATCTGAGGAAGCCTAAAAATCAGCTAGAACGAATTCCCAGAGACTGAAGGATTTTACACGCGCCTGGCCGAAAAATGCCAGTACTGGGTTGAGCCGCGCCTCTGCAAGAACCCCCACCTCAACTCGGTGAAGAATTCTAGGGGAGCTTCCTCACCGCCGCTTCCTCCAGCTGGTCGATCTCTTGTCGCCAGACAGTATTCTGGGGAGGTTCAGGAGGGAATTCACCCGCGTCACGCCTTCGAGCGCGGACCATTCCTCTTCCTCGTTTGTCGATATGCAATCTGCCAGGCTGCGAGCAGACCCGCACCTTTCAGACTCCTTCAAGATGGGCGGTTCGTCGACCGGTACAATCTCATCGACCTCCCTTAATGTGGTGGAGTGTTGCAATGTGGCCTCCGCACTGTGCTCTGCACTGGATACATGTACACTAGCATCTGCAATCTCTTCATCGACCTCTGCACTGGCATCCTGTGTGGAAACCTCCTCCCCCGGTGGGTTCTGCTGTCTCCACACTGGGTTCACTCTCTTGAACCGAGTCAGCTGACTTCTCATGATCCAAGAATAAGCAGACAACAGCACAGTCATCACTCTTGGATGTTGGGAACTTCAACCTCCACGATCTGACAGCACAGTCAACAAGAGCCCTGGCTGCCGTTGCCCGAGATGGGGCTGATGCTACAATGTCAACAGCCTCCTTATTTGAGAGAACGTCCCATACCTACATGCATTGAGCTTTACGATTATGAGAAAGTTGATGCAGATCTGTGAAGGTGCTAAAAAGATAGCTACTCCAAGCAGGGACTGCAAATTAAAGACATGATGTATTGGCTGATGAGTTCCTAGATCGAGCAGTATTTTAAGTAAGAATCTAAGATGATTAGCATACCCCATCGGTGGCTAGTATTATAAATTCATCCTTTTCGGTAAGACGGCGATACGATATCTCTGGAACAGATATTAAACCATAATCTTTAAGGCAGAAGTCTCCGAAAGCTCTTGCCATTGCCAATCCAGGAGAGTTGTTATTTGGCAACCATACTCTGGCAACTTCTGGCTCATCCTGAAGAGCAAAAACTCGTCCTTTACATTGTTGTATCCTCGCAGCTTCCCCTTGAAAAGAAGAAATAAAGATTAAATATTTCGACAACCCAAAGGAAACATCAATCTGGACAAGCATCTTATTCGCATCATAGTTCGATCAAAGGCACCTCGAGGACAGAAAGGAAACAAATATCAAATATGCAGATTACGACGGTCTTCAGGGCCAATGAAATGATCAAAGTGAGAATTGAACGTACTGGGAAGGTTAGGCTTCAAATCAACTGTGAGTTGCAGAGCGGTTAGATTGTTAGAGGCGTCTCTTGTCCCCATAATTGCTCTTGAGTCCCCAAGATTTCCAATTACAAGGTCCAATCCCTAACAAAAACATGTCCAGCTCATTCAGTAATTTAGTTGTACCTCTACCACTTTTCTCAAAAGCTTCAGTATGTGCAAACGCCAAGGCAAGTTTTGAAGTATCAATCACCTGTTTCACCAATGTTACTGCTGTAGATCCACTGCAGAAACAGTCAACTGTGGGATGCAGCTTGAGTTCCTTGTCCATCAATTTGAAAGCTTTTAGGTAAGATTTCTTAAGTGGAAGAAACGTCTCAGGAAGCTTTTCAGTGTCATCACCATCACCCCATTCATCATCAACAATAGAACCTGTTTCTTCGGAGTTGATACTTTCAGAGATGCTTCCATTTTGATGAGGACTAGAGCCCCCATTAGCACTAGTTTGCCATTGTGTGCGCAACTTGACAGGAAGTGAATCTCTAACTTTCTTGGCAACAAAATGACCGTATGGCCCATGGCCATCAAACACACCACAGAAGATGCTGTCACTTGAATTAAAACTCTGCAGTGACAAATAAAAAAAACAATTTCATACAATAGTCAAGTAATAGCATTTATTGCCCTATAAATTTGTATCCAATAGTCCAATCAGGTAGTAATGTCAGCGAAAAGTAGATAGGCTGATTGACAGGGTTTCAACAGACTCTGCTGGTTGCATTTTATTTGTCCACTAGTTGCAGTATTAAAAGAAAAACATCAACAAAGATTACTATGGAGAAAATCAGTAGCGCCTTGTTTAGATGCCATCCAAATTCCAAGTTTTTTCACTCTCTCTCCATCACATTAATTTTTAACCGCTTGCATGGAGTATTAAATGTAGATAAAAAAAATAACTAATTACACAGTTTAGTTGGAAATCACGAGATGAATCTTTTGAGCATAGTTGGTCCACGATTGGATAATATTTGCCAAATAAGACGAAAGTGGTACTATTCATCAGGTTCAATTTTTTTTCAAAGTGAACGAGGCCTAGGTAAGCAAAGAAAAAGGTGGAAAAAAACTATCACATGGACACCCAATCATCCATGGAACAGAACTAGCAAACTTAGGAATGATGACACACGATAATATAAAGTGAGTAGGCCTGTTTCACACTGCAACTGGCTATCTTTGAACTATGAAATATTCCTACACTACATTAAGAAAAATCCTATCAGCAGGCAAATCGATCTGCAACACTGTCACGTGAATAATGTAATATGTTCAAAGATCAATAGAAAAATATGAACTCTGGTACACAATGGACATTATACATAAAACAAAAAATGAGAAATCTTATTGAAGAGTAAAACTGAAACCTCAAGATGGAAACAAAAGCCCATCACCCAATTCTAAGTTCCAACAAAACTAAAAAAAGAAAAGAAAAGGAAGTACCTCATTCTAATTAAGGAAGTACCTATTTGCCTTGATTATTAGCTATCGATAGCACCATTCTGAGAATCTATAGGCATAAAGTCTTTTTATTGTCTCCTGAAGAACATGATTCGCAATGCAACTTAGAGAGAGGCTGCCTTTACTTCTTTGACTTGTGCTAAACTAAAGTGTACAAATATTCTTTAATACTCACAAGACAGCAACCTTACATACGTTAGCTAGGTCTAAAAATTGTGTGAGGTCATCCATAGGTCAATTTAACGCTCTCTCACTGCTATACTCAACTTATGAGATAAGGATCACAACCTAATGTGTAATAGAATCGATTTTTCTTACCAGTTGCTTACTAATGAAACTAAAGAGAAATTGATGAATTGATTATGACGGATCTTAAAAAATGGAATAAGACAGCTACACTTAGGCCCAACCAATTGCTTGACAGCACAAGCACATCAGGTTCAAGAAAGCAGCAACATGATACCATTCGTCGAATAAAAAGAGATCAATACAAAGAAAGGTACAAAAGTTAGCCAAAGGATCACAGGAAAGAATCTCCCCTGGCCTAAACTGCAAACAAAGTTTAGAACCAAAAGCAAAGACGGTAAATGAACAATGCTCCAATATCCCAACCACTCATGCTCCCTTCCACCATTCCTTTTTTGAGAAATCGATTCTTTTTTGCTTTTGAGAAACCATCAGACGAATTTATGCAGGTAATTCTCAACTCCTCTGAAAACTTCACTTTCAGATAAAAAGCTCGATTAATCTACAGGAAACACCGTGCATTTGGAATAAAGCCTGTAAAAGGGTGCGAATAAAAACCAAACCATAAAATAAATATTCGAACTCGAACAACAGCTACAGATCCGAATCCACTATTCACTGCAAAGAACAGCTCACAGAAGAGTTTTTAATATTCTGCGTCCTAAAGCTAAACCCCTCCTAACTTCAGAAATTACAAATTTTTACATAGACGCTTCTCCCCCTCGAAATCAAACGAAACCGAATATCAAATATGTCCCCAACCGAAACCCAACGAAGCCATTACCCTCAACAGGTAAAGAACACTTTGGATTTTGTACGAGTACAACCGCGATCATTTTCGACAATCAAAATCATGCGGAAAACCGAGAAAAAAGCGGCGTTTCGGGGACCAAGGATCACAAACGGACCGAACTCAGCCCACCGGAACGAATCACCACCCGGCAAGAGAAGCGGCGGATTACGAGCTCACCTCCCACACGACCATGGCGTCCTGGTTGGTGCCCTTCCGCCCCTGCTGCGTGTGGAGGCACGCCACCGCGCTGGCGCCGTTGCCGCACATCCTCCCGGAGACCCGCGCGAGCTCGTCCTCCGTCATCTCTCCCCCTCCTCCGGGCAGCTTCTTGCCACCGCCGGCGCCGGCGCCGGCCGCGCCCTCCCGGCTCCCGCGGCGCCTCTTCCGCCACGCTGCCGGCTCGTCGCCGGCGGCGGGGGCCTCGGAGGATAGGCAGGAGCCCATGGCGGCCAATGGGAGGGAGGCAACACGGTGGAGCACAGGGTGGGGGTGGTAACTGCTGCTGCTGCCTGACTGTTGTGTTGTGTCCGCTGGCTGCAAACTGTGATGTGGCTGTAGGGTTTTGATGATGCTTGCAATTTGCAGGTCTTGTGGAGTTTTTGTATCATCTGGATTGTATGGTCTGGTTACTTGAAGGTCTGTGCTTAAAAAAATGTTATTTTGATTTTTAATTAGGGTTTTATTTTGATTTTTAATTAGGGTTTGGTTGGGTGTTGGTTTGATTGATTATCATTATCACGATGATGCTCTCCTAACCTTCGCCCCGTTCGCTTGGCTTATAAGCCATACTTCTTCAGTCAACGAACGGTATTTTTCTCTCACAGCAAATCAGCCAACGGTACTTTCAGCCATGGCTTATCAGCCAAGCGAACATGACACTTGTGGGTGATGGAATCCTATGACGGGGAAATGAGGAAAATTTTACTCCAAGATAAGGTCACTTTGAAGTTACAATGATTTTTCCATGTGTGATAACGGTGACTGTCTCAATAAAGACATGTTTTTTTAATTCATATTCATCGGTATAACGGTATTCCTAAGCTATATGCATTCTTAGACTTTTAGATATGATGCTTATTTTGGAAGAATGGAAGTTGTAAACACTTTATGTTGGTTTCTAGTTATTTTGATCCAAACCTGGTTTTGGATCGTATAATTTGGCTTCTGTACATTTGAATAGCATCGTGATTTTAAGTTTTATTAACAGTACAATATGCAAGGAACAGTAAACCAATGCAAATACTAGCACCGAAATAATTAATTAATATGGGAAAAGGCAACAAAGGGTAGCCACAGCAACCATGTGCCCCTGTCGTCTTAAAACACACTGATGGGTACAGCCGTACAAAACCACATTTTTTCTCTTTCTTTTTTGTATTTGCAAGTGTCAAAGAATCTTAAAAACTGAAGTAGTATCCTGTTTAACAGTCAGATCTATTTGATAGCACTAATCCAACCTACCACAAGATGGACACGTTGGATTTTGACTGCTGTATTACTGATGAACTTCTAAATAATTGTCCTTACATGAAAATTATAGAGCCAATGACTCAATCCAAATATAATGCAGTTGCGCTTAAAAATGCATAGTATAATCCAGAAAATACTCTCATTTCTTGATAATTTTTCAACATTCTATGCACAACTAAAAAAGATTTTTTTTATACTGGTCACCTATCTAACAGAAGTAGCAGCAGTCCAATCCACTCATCTTTCTCAAACCACTTTTGACACAAGGGGAACTTTTTGGTGCATCTCCGGTCCTCTTTGGATTCTAGATTGAGATTTATAGTACTCTCTTTGTCATAACCTTTTTGTCAGCATGGAGACAGGTGATTACCTTATGGGCCCCTTTGTCCTTATCAGCACAAGTGCATGCAATAGTTTAACTGATAGTGCTCCTTCAAACCATAGTTTATCATGGTGCTTAGCACCATAGCACTGTTCACTAATCCGCATTACATGGACAGTGATGCCACAGGGATGGCTACACTTATACTACTAGTTATTGCCCTGTTCGCTTGGCTGATAAGCCATGGCTGAAAGTACTGTTGGCTGATTTGTTGTGAGAGAAAAATACTGTTCGTTGGCTGAAAAAATACGGCTTATAAACCAAGCGAACAGGACGTATCTATCTGTCTTGTTTAGTTCAGAGAAATAGTTATATCTTTCCCTTTCTATAGGAGTTCTCTCTTTCCCTTTTTATATGAGTTATCTCTTTCCCTCTTTTTATAGCAGCAATCTCTTTCCCTCTTCTTATTGGAGTTATCTCTTTCCTGCAGGGACAGGACACAGCTGTGTATATCCATGGATACTATTGCTGTAGTATTTTTTGTTTCCTTGTTCAGAAACTGGAGCCAAGTCAATGCACCGGTGAGATGTGCTATTTAAAAGTTAGGAAAGCTATAGGTGTTGATGAATCTGTGGGCATGCCCAAATCCAGTTCAGCTGAGGTTTCAGACGTGGTCTGTCAAACTTTGGAATAAGTGGCGGTGCTTGAGTTGACTTGGCCACTCAAAGTGCAGTGGGACAAATTGCGTTGACAATAGCACCCCGTTTTTTCTGTTAAACCACACAGACGAAGTAGAGATATCTTGTGGTTGGCCAAGAAGATCTCCCCGTGACTAATATTAATAAACACTTGTGATCCAGGAGAACTTGGTTGCCAAAACGGTGTTTCTCTTCTGGAAATCCTTCAAGAACTCATCATATATAAACAACGTTGAGCCTTCACCACCATCAGATATATACGCTCTTTACCTATAATACCACAGCCCAAAATTAACGTCGCATGGGGTCATTAAAAGTTTCAAAATACCATTGGAAGGTCGGATGTTAAAAATTTCTAACGGACGGTCGGTCGTTATATCTAGTTTTTCAACTAAACATCGGTCGGTATTTCTGGTTTGCTTTACCGTTTGAAACTGCTATTTGAGTCTAACGATCTGTCAATACATCTAGAATGGGACCCTGCCTACTCTGACAGCCCAACACGCGGTCCATATATTTGAGAAGTATATAATTGGCCCTCTCTTATAATCCGTCTTTTTCAGCTTGTTTTTTTTAGCCGGAACAATATTTTTCTCTTACAACAAATCAGCTAGAACAGTGTTTCGGCTTGTTTTTTCAGCGAAGCGAACGGGGCCGATGTGCCCTAGGCTTTGTCGGCCATCCTTGTCTATCCCGATTCCTGTTTCTTGATGTGGAGTTTTTCATGTCCTATGAATGCAACCACAAGTGGTGTCTCTTTCTACTAATAGTAGAGGTGAGTTCTGTTACACATATGGGTGAAGATGCCTACTTTAATTAATTAACAACTGTAGATACATGATAGTGTACTGAACTGTCTAGGCTCTCAATATGCTCCTGCCTTCTTTCAAATAAGTTGACAATCTTCAAATAAATAATATTTATGAGGTTGAAGCTTAAACTTGGCCAAAAGACCTTTGCATTTTTTTTTCAAAGATAACACCTTTGCACTTGTAAGTTTTATTCCTCATCAAGTATGTATTCTTTGTAGGTGTTTGATGAGGCTATCTCCTTATTGCAGCAAGAGGATCAAGGTGCTCATGGTGGCTATTTTCATTCATGATGACTCTTCCTCATCAAGACGAAAAGATTTTGTTGTGTGAGCAAAACATATGAGTTGTGAAATGTACAAACCATAGTTGTGTAGGTACTCGAGTGAGCTAACTTGGTTATTGCCTTACTATTTCGTGTGAAAAATTGTACAAGTACAAATGTTGATGGTTTCAATGAAAATGATGAGCTATGTTTTGTCAATTGTGAGCTTTGTGTCCCATTTATGTGTTTCATGAGTGTATGTATAATGTCTGACATGGTTAATGTCCTTTGTATGGTTAACATATAAACAAATGATATTATATGGTTAATTTTTTTGTATGCCTAGCGTTAGACAGTTGGTCGCTATAAATATCTATCATTGGGCAGTTGAAAGCCCTAGTTTGGTTTTGGATAATTGATGAAACCTAGGCACTAACCTTTGTCATGAGTTGTGATATGAGCTAGGTTGGTGCAATCCAAGTGTGAAGTATGGTGGCACTCAAGAGGTGGTGATGATCATATGAAATGATGAGATGGTCATATGTGATGATGATCAAGTGCTCAACTTGGAAAAGAAGACAGAGAAAAACAAAACCCTATGAAGGTCAATGCAAAGGTATAAATAGGGATTTTGTTTTAGTGATCAAGACACTATAGAGAGTGTGATCATGTTTAGGGTAGATAGCCGTACTATTAAGAGGGGTTCTCTACTAGATAATTCGGTCATCTAGTGCCACTAGGTGTTGGACTTCATGCATTGCATTTAGGCCTAGTGCACTTCGGAGAGCAAGCAAAAATATTTATCGAAAATGTTTTGAGAAATGCTAACTTGGCTCTAACATGTTTTGAGAAAACATTTTGAGAGTTAGCATCGCTTGTGGGGAGTAGCTCGAGTTGACGTGGATCGAATTGCGACAAAGTTTGCAACTCGGTGAGCTAGTGGAGGTGCCTAGGTGGCACCGCCACCCTTTGTCCGGTGCACCACCACCCATATGGCGGTGCCCACCTAGACATGGCCGAGAGCAGCAGGTTCGGGGAGGTCACCGGACATGCCGATGTACATCGCCTCGGGCGCGGCGGTGCATCGCCATTGGGTGTCCGGTGCCAACACCGTTTTTCTCCAGAGACAGGCGCAAGCGAAGGGGGTCACTGCCATGGGTGCGGTGGTGCACCGCCCTATTTTTCCAGAGACTGCGTTTTCGGGGACTTGGCTGGGATGGTCACCGCCGCCCCTAGGGCGGTGCCACCGCCATGCCATGTCCGGTGACCAATCTAGCCATTGGGAAGTGACCATTGGGGGCACCGCCACCCCAGGGGCGGTGTGCCACCGTCGTGTCTAGTGCCCCCGCATAGACAGGTCCAAGGGGTACAATGGCTCTATTTGCTTGTGTGGCTATAAATAGAGGGTGTGGCCAGCCTTGGTCACTCTCTTGGCACCTCTTACACTTGTGCACACCCTTTGGGAGCTGAGCAAATACAATCCACTCACTTGCATACTTAATTTCATCATTTGAGTGAGATTGGTGAGCCTCTAGCGCATTGCATTGAGTTGCATCATCTTGTGGCATTAGTTGGGTGATTTGGGCTGGTTGTTGTAACAGAACCGACCAAATTATAAGAACGTAAGTACAAAAACAATCACCGAAGTGATCAAATTCCTGTATTTAAGCTCCCATAATCCCGGTAGTCCGGAAATCACGAAGGATTTCAAACAACTCTCGACATACAAACCAAGACCGTAGTGATTCAACACAACACATCATTCGTTACAACATTTCACAAGTGGCATCCGGATTACATCCATCAGAGTGCGAATAAAATATTACAAACCAAGTTCAAATTTGCGGAAGCAACATAGTTTAGTACATAACTTTATAGTT